AAAACTGCTTATTTTTCTGTAAATTCAGATCTCCTAAGATCATTCCGTTCAATTTGGGTTATTAAATGTGGTTTAGTAGTTGTAGTTTGCTCAAAATATGGGTCACTTGATGCTGGTTGTTCAGGATCACCACCATCGTCTTCTTTGTCAGTGGAAGCAACTGAAAAGGATGCTGGCATTTTGGGAACTAATAGATCATCGCCATATGCTCCTGGATGTTTTGCAGAGGGGATGTTTGGATATTCCAGAGTCCACTTTTTCTTTTTTGATATGCTGTTCCCAATTGGAGGGACCATGCAAAAGCATATGTGTCAGGGTTTGTAGTGGACCGGGAAATATTGAATTGACCGTAATTTTTTTTTGGGGGGGGGGGGGGGGGGGGGGGGGGGGGAAGGGGGGGGGGGAACCAGGAACAGTGATTTTCAGCTTGAAAAAGACATTCTGCCCTTGAGAAGCCGTGAATTTTGACCGCCACAATGAAATTGACGGAAATTCTGCAATTTTCAGCATTTGGGAAATTTTGGGGCCATTTTGGCTAGTTTTTGGCTACTTTTGTTTACGGTCATTTCAGGTGTGAGGGCAGCTGATTATCGGCTATTTTCAGCCGAAATGGCTTGTTAAAGGCCAGGGAAGGGCGGACTGTGTTGCAGCTCATGAATACATGCAGACAGCAGCATAGGGCGGAAAGGAGCAGCTGCCGTCTCGCGTGTGCGTGTGCCTTTGTTTCTAGTGAGTCCCACAGAATTAATAGTATAAATAGATTTATTGCCGTGGTTTCTTGAAAGGATTACATTGGGAGATGGTGGGGCTCGGTTCGGTTGTATTTATAAATAGAGTCAGCCATGGTGGTGGCTAAGCAAAGTGACCGTCAGATGGATTTCTCAGTTCTTTTTTTGGCCTGGTTTTATCTTTACAGTGTGTTTGGCGATCAGTATTGTAATTCACCGAGATTCCCTCTTCTGTTGTCTCACCCCTCTCTCTCTTTCTCTCTCTCTTCCCTCCCTCTTTCACTCTTCTAACTATTGCTCCTTTCTTCCCGTCTCCTGCATCCCTCCCCTCTGATCTTCATCTTCTCTTTCTCTGTCTCTTTCCTTTTACTCTCTCATTTCCTGTCTCTCTCCCCCCCCCCTCTTTTTTTTCCCCTATTTTATTTCTTGTTTAAATGTTTAGTAAATGTGCGGCTCCATAACTCTTTTCCTAGCAACTCAAGCTAGCAACTCAAGTACACAGAAAGTTGTGTTGGGGGGGGGGGGGGGGGAGGGGGGGGGGGGGGGTCGTTCAGCGTAAACATGGTGGATATTTTCTTTTGATGTGTTTTTCTTAGTGGGCCTTAATCTCTGTCCATCGCCCTTCCTGCACCCTCACATTTTGTCCTACCTGTTCCTCACTCTCTGCCTGTCACTGCTTTCCTCTCTCTTTCTCTTTGTATTTCGCTGCTCTCCCTCACTCCCTCCCCCCCCTCTCTCTCCCTTTCTCTTTCTCCATACCTTCAGTTGGCGTAGAAGGTTATGTGTTGCTAGTGCAGATCATTTCATGTCCACCACTCCCCCTCCCTCACACACACATTAAATATATGTGTACTTATAAAAACACATTTGCCGTCACTCTCCCCTTTTCTCCTCCCACATTGATGACACCTATGGGAGGGGGTGCACCCCTTCCTGCTACCTTCTTCCCTCTATATCTCATCTTATTTCTTTCTCCCTTCTTTCTCTCCCTGTCAAGTTCCTACTTTATTTTCTTAAACTTTATTCTCTCACCTTTCTCACCTCCTTTGTCTCACCCTTACCATCTCAGCCTTCTACACCACCTCATCTCCCCCTCCTTTCTGTAATTGGAAAACCGGAAATAAAATGAAGTCCACTGGAGACCTGACCTATTTGTGTGCATGTGTGGGTAACCTGCTCTATTTTCCACCAGTGGTGGGTTGGGATCCCCTGAACATTTTTCTTCTTAAAATGACCTTGGCTCTCAGGTCACCAGCCTTAAGTAAAAAATTGAACTATTGTTGTCACAGCAGATAGGACAAGCATGGGGCAGTAGGGGTTAGCACTGTTGTTTATGGACCACTGCCACATTCACATTGGGAGAGGGTTGGACCTGGAAAAGTGGCCTCACTTAGAGATTTCCTTATTCTATTTTTGGTGCTCAGTGTTCTTATCCGCCCCCCCCCCCCCCAACCATGTCTTACCTCTCTTCTCTCACCCCTTCTCTTTCCTGTATCTTCCACTATTCTCCTTTCTCTCTCCATTCTTCCTCTCTTTCTTTCCTTACTCTGTTCTCTCTTGCTCTTTCTCCTGTCCCATCTCTTCTTTGTCTCCTCTCCATCCTATCTTTTCATTTTCTCTTGATTTCCTTACCCTCTCCCCTCTCTCGTTCTCTCCCACACCCCCTTTTTTTTCTGGTTCATCTACATATATTTTTTTCCCCATAACCATCTTTTTCTAGTGGTTGTGTCCACTACACTTGAAATTGTGTGGGGGAGTGAGTGGGGTTTCAGCATGAGGCTGTTTTTTTTTTCTTTGATGTATCTTGTCGCCCTTCCTGCCCTTCTCTCTTAATCTGTGTTTGTCACTGCCTTCCTTGACCATCTCTCTCTCTCTCTCTCTCTCTCTCTCTCTCTCTCTCTCTCTCTCTCTCTCTCTCTCTCTCTCTCTCTCTCTCTCTCTTGCTTTATGTCTGTTTGCCTCCCTTCATCACTTCCTCTTTGTATACCTCCCTCCCATTCTCCTGCTTTGCCTTTTTTTCTCTTTCTTTGGTTCTCTCCCTCTGTCTGCTTGCCTCTCTATGCTGTCCCTTTGTCTCTCTCTCCTTTATGTCTACATTTCTCTCTGCTTGCATCTGCTTCTCTCCCTGTCCGTTCTCTCTCCCTCTGTATCCCTTCCTTCAACTCTCTTTGTCATATTTTCCTCCTTCCATATCTCTGTTTCGTTCCCTTCTTTTTTCATCTGCCCATCTCTGTATCTGCATTCCCTCTTTCTGTATTTGTCTCCCTCTCTGTCTTTCGCTGTCCCTTCCCCACTTTCCCTCATCATGTCTCCATCCTTCCCTCTCTTTTTTTCCTCCTTCCCCAGACTCCTTTTCCTTCTTTCCTTTACCTTCATCTGTCCATCTTTACACTGTCTCTCCCAGTCTACCTCAGCATGTGTCTTCCTCCCTCTCTGCATGACTCTCTCTCTCTCTCCCCCTGATATATGTGCTGGTATACCAACACCTGTGGCACGAATGAAGTACATTGTGTGCTCGGTGCACCCTTGAACAAGGCAAAAATCTTGTTTCAGTATTACACCGAGACAACCTTGAAAAAGACCTTGAAAAGTCTTGAAATTGATTGGTAAATTTAGCTATGAACCCTGATGTGTGGTGCCCAGCTCTTTTCTTGATCTCCTATTCTGCAGCCAAAATATAAATTGTGTCTTATAATCAGTTTAGTTTTTGTAATAGAAATGTCACCTTACCACATATATAACATAAATTATTAGAGCTGTTCACACATGTCCTAGCCATTTCTAACTACAGTACTTTTTCTACTAATTTCAAAATTTTGTCAGAGATAGATATGTATACACACAGGTGATATACTTGTAGTATTGCATCCTTAATGTCTAGTTACATTTTTTGATTGGTTATTAGAAAATATGTCTGCTCTATGGCTAAGTTGATGCGAACGCTTTGTAATACCGGGTTCGATCACAGCTGCGGGCCATGCGCCTTGCGTTGGTTTCGACAGTGGTATCAAGAAAGCCGACCGTCCAGAAAGCAATGGCAAACTACTGGATGTAAATTTGCCTAGAAAAACCGCACAACAGCCAGTGGCTGTTGGGGTTGGTTCTGCAACGTCCTGTTAGAAAATATTATGTAATCATCCACAACAGTTGCATCAGGCATAAATTTACAGTAATTAAATGAACTATTAACAAATATCTTGACAACTAGAGCCAGTCAATCAACATTTTAAAGTTTTTTTTTGGTTTTCAGCACACCAGAATTAGTTATGATCAGCTATTTTCAATGTTAGTACATTTCGTTTGTTGACTTGTGTAGTTTTAACCAAGCCCAGTCCATCCAGTATTTACTGTCTATTTCTGTCTCAGCTCAAATGACATGTGATAATGATCATTTGGACAAGTGACAAGATCTGGAGACAATGGATATGTTCTCCAATAAATGTTACTGTGAATGTGAGACAGAGTGTCCCTTAATATTTATTTACTTTGTGAGAGTATGAAAGCAGAAATAAGTACTTTCCAAAGACACTCTAACTCAGTGGTCTCAGACCTTTTTTCAGTCCACGCATCCCATGAGTATATGGCAAAACCCCCATGCACCTCTTAAGTATATATTGAGGACCTCTTTAAGTATATTGCAAGATTCCCCCACCCTCCCTTGAGTATATGGCAAAACCCCCATGCACCTCTTAAGTATATATTGAGGACCTCTTTAAGTATATTGCAAGATTCCGTCACCCTCCCTTGAGTATATGGCAAAACCCCCCATGCACCCCTTCATATATATTAATACCCCCCCCCCCCCCCCCCCCCCCCCACCACATAACATGTGATTAAAAAGAGGTCATTAGATTCCACAACAAGAGAAATTATGGGGATACATTCTGGCCAGAATTTGTTCTTAGTCTGTTATTAAATGTGCATGGTATTAATTAGATTTTAGATATGTACAAACTGTTTATGAAAACAAAAATACCCTTGTGTTTAATAAATGGGTTTAAATTGTTTTTTTTTAAAATGTAATTAAACCAAAACAGAATGTTAGTATAATGGCTTATTTATTACAATGCACTCACTTTCAGAATTGCTTGACACCCCTCTTGCACTCCATCTCCCTAGGTTGGAGACCACTGCTCTATTTAATTATTTAATTGTGACTGCCTAGGTAAGCATTGTAATATTTTATAATCTATAAATATGAATATGAACATTACTTTTTACATATTCACTTCACAAACAAGTGTGTGTAACTTTAAGCAATTGCTTTCTCAGGTTGTATTACCCAACTTGGCAATTATTCGCATAGCTGTCTATGAAGATCAGGGCAAGTCTTTGATTGGTCACCGTATCTTGCCGGTGGAAGGACTCAGACCAGGCTACCGCCACATTCCTCTCAGAAATGAATGCAATCAGCCACTTTTATTGCCAACATTGTTTGTTCACCTAGTTGTCAAAGACTATGTTCCAGATGCACTTGCTGGTATGATTTAAACATTTGTGGGTGTTAAAAGTTTGAAGCATTTGATAATTTGAGGAAGCTATATTGTTATATTCGACTTGAAGAAAAAAAATGTTATGTTTACTTGTTCAACAGCTGACATTGCTCTGCCTTTGTTGTTATTGTACAAATAAACTTATGGGATCTGATTGATATAAGCATCTAGTTATGAACCCAGTCTATGAGTGACAGTTAGCAAGGTTACCCACATCTTCATTGAGAAACAAACAGGGAAGTTACCATACAGAAGTACATATTACAGTTCAGTCATCACTATAAACAGCATTTTGTTTTTCTCTGCCCAATAAATCTTTTTACACCCCACTGTATAAAGCTTGAAGTGACTGTACTTGTGATGGCGGAAGTGACTAATTGTCGGTGGGAGAGGACTAAGCAGTGAAAATATTTTGCCAGAAGCGGTAACAGAGTGATTGGAATGTAACAGACAGATTGGATGGAGGCTTTGACATTTTGAACAACGATGAAATTGTTTCTAGTGTGACTACCACAGAAGAAGAAGAAACTCATGACGATGAAGGATCAGTTCTTAACCAAAAACCTGCAACTAGCTACTCAGTAGCAGAAACACTTATCAAAGTGCATCAGCTGGTTTGAAATGCAAGAGGAGGTAAATGCAGTACAGATCCTTACTTCTGCGTAAGACACTGAACATCGCTCCACAGAAAGCTCAAGCCTCAAAGACGCAGAAGGAGATGACAGATTATTTTAATGTAATGTAGGCTTATAGTATATCAATACACTTCTGTACATTACTGCTCTTATATTAAAGTTTATATTGATCATTAAAAAAAAATGTTATACAATATGCCTATGTTATTTACTTTTAAAAATTCTATTTTTATTTTCATTTCAAGCCCAATGTGAAATCATGTTACTGTCCATATATATTATTACATTTCTGTTATCCATCTGTCAGACTTGTGTAGGGTCATAATCACACTGAGCCAGGAATGCAGAGACTGGCCAGCAGGTGCCACAGAGATGGAAATTCAGCAATTAATTCAAGATAATGCTCGCTCAGAGGATTTGATCATTTACACAGACGATTCAGTGTCAAGAGGCAAAAGAAGTGCTTGGGGCTTCTTAGCAAAAGTTAATGGTCAACGTTTGGTGCAGCAGAGCCTAGCATATGATACCACAACATCTAGCTTAAAAATGGAGGTGGAGGTGGTCACTGCAGCATTCCGCTGGCTAGAGAACACGACACACACACACATTGTAATTGTAACTGATTCAGAAAGCATGCTGAGGAAGATCAGGACAGGTATGCTTTGTACAGAGTGGCATGCTTCGCTGGGGAGGACACGAGTGAGGAGTATTGTCTGGATCTTTTCACCAGGGAACGCCGGTGTGTTGGGAAATGAACAGACGGACAGACTGGCTGGCTCTGCACAACTTGGTGGAATACTGAAATATGATAAGGCAGACGTGGTTAGTACCTTGTGGAGAGCGTGTACAGTTGGGAGAAGCATTTGAATCACCACAGTCTGGTGAGATTGATGCAGGGGGTAGTGACGAGAGGTTCCGGCAGATGCTCGAGGCTCAAAGGAAAGGCAGGACGGACGTTTAATCAGAATGCTACTGGCACCATTAGTATTGGAAATCTTCCCTGGCTGCTGAAGATAGGGACAGAGTGCTTATGGGAATGTCCCGAGTGCTTTGATGTTGGTTCTTGAATCAAATCATATCAAATCGGGGTGATCGTGTAGTTAATCTTATATTTCTTTAATGATAGGCATTGTGTAACGAGACAGTTTGATTCATTTATTATAGTTGAAAGGATTAATGCTTTGTACTTCAGTATATGATGATTTAAACCCATCATATGGGTTCTAGGACCCATTTTGAGGAAAGGAAAAAAAATATAGACCCATGTCTCCTTAACTCTTTCAGTCCCACAAAGTCCTAATAAATGTCCGAGGAAGTTTAGAATGGCAATATTAAACTTATGGGTATGCTACTACCAGAGGGGCTGATTTCACAACTCTTGTAGGCAACAAATATGTTTTCTGAGTCACTCATTTAACCTAGGTGTAAAAAAAATATAAATAATATGATGATTGGTACACGTGAATAATACCCAAAATGCATAGTGCGTTGTTTGGGACAGAAAGAGTTAACAAATGTAAAAGGTGACTGTTAACTAGCTGAAAAACGATGTGTTGGACTGAAAGTTACATATATAGCACCCTAGCTTAAACCATAACACAATGCGCCAATCACCCCAGTAGGGGCAAATGCAGTAGATAAAGAAGATGATGAAATAAACGCTGTAGTGATGCACCGGACTAGATACATAGAAATGTGCCTGAGAATAAATTGTAGTGCATTTTTAAGCCCTCATTAAAAAAAATTAATAAATAATGAAAATATTAGAATAGTTTCTAAAACTTATCTCCCCCGCTCTTTCAGGGTTTATATTCTTTTTTTCTTCCTTATATTTTGCTTTTGAAAATAATCTTATGCAATTTTTTTTTTAATTTGTATAGTAGGATGTTGATTCTTTCTAGTTTCTTCTTCTTCAGTATTCCTTTCAGGTTCCATGATGCAAATATCACCTGCCTCCATTTTCTCTCTAACTGGCCTTCTCTTTCTACTTAGTGACTGCAGTTATTTGTAGATCTGCCTAGATAATATCTTCCCACAGCCTTCTCTGTCATCTGCCCTATATCCTAGCCATTGCAGGCTATAATTCCTCATAATGCCAGTGATTAGTGGTAACCTGAACATATTATAAATTGAGTTGTTGCTTCCCTATACTACTTACTTTATGAATAAATGTTTTTATCTCCAAATATATTTCCTTGTATTTTTCATTTTATATCCATAATAACTTTTTTTTTTTTTTACAGAGTATGCAGATGCATTGTTCAACCCGATTGCTTACCAGTCAAATTTAGAAAAGCATGCCCAACAGCTAGAGATTCTGACAGAAGACTTTGAAGAGGAAGTTACTGTAAGTGTTTGTCAAAGTTCATTTCTATCTGAAGGTTGTTGTGCTTGAATAACAGAGGTATTTTCTCAAGTCGCTGATGGCAGGTAAAAAAAAAATTATGAATGAAAACAATGTTGAGAAGTAAATTAAAATCCACATTACACAGTCATTTCCTCTTTTTCCCTCCTCTCAGTGTCTCTTTTGCTCACAAGATTTGTTCATTTAAAAAGCATTTGATTAAAAAAACCTGGATGATATAAAAGAGATAAAGGAACAGAGCAAATCACAAAGTACAGTGTACAATAATAAAATTATTAGAAGTCTCAAGGGGTCCTGTTTGGGTTGTGCTAGACCTTGTTTCAGATACTAACTACCAATAGCTAGAATATGGTGTCTTCTCTTGACAGTGCCTGCACTCATTGTTTAGTACAAGACTGGGTTACACAAAGTGCGAGACAAGGCCACTTGTTATTTTAATCATCCACAGCAATCACACACAAAATCTGGGTACCAAAACTACCTTATGGGGATGGTCATTGAGTTGTAATACAGATCACACAGTGGCTCCCTCACTTAGTTGTTATTCCATGAAGAACTAGTTTTTTTCAGTACCTAGCCTTTTTAATTGGTTCTTGATTCATGCATCTTTGCAGGTAGTTTTCCAGATGTACATAGCATGACAGTTAGTTGAGGTTCAAAATTCCCCACAGGTGGGTCACCCTATAACTGCTCTGTTTCTGTGCTAATGGAAATCACACAGAATGTTCTTCATTGCCCCTTTTGAAAAACTAGTGAAAAATGTATCATGCACAAAGTAAATGCATAGTGTATCTATCAGATATTACTTTGTAATTGTTATCCGTATTGACATCCTAATACATCAGTCTGACCCATTCAGGCTTTGTCTTCTGATGCAGCAGCCATCTTAGTGTCTCCATGCTTGTTGTGCCCATTAAGAGCTGATTAGCTATCTTCTTTCTTTGCCCTGAACTGGTTTCACTTTAAAAAGCCTCTGACAGTATTCACTGTAATACACTTTGGAAACTACTTAAAATCTATGGTTTGCCTGGCATATTCATCAGCGTCATAAAATCCTTCTACAATAAAGCATGTTGCAGTGTAAGAACAGAATGGGGCAACTCTGACTGGTTTCCAGTGGAAAGAGGAGTGAAACCAGGCTGTGTCCTATCCCTGATGCTCTTTAGAATAGAAATCAGTTGGGTTATGCACAAGTGCACAAACAACACACATTTGGGTATTGAATGGGTTGACAAAATTCTAGAAGACCTTAACTTTGCTGATGACATAGTGCTTTTGAGTTCAGCACACCCAGATATCCAGTTGAAAACAAATAATCTCCAAAATGTTTGAGAACAAATTGGTCTTCAAATGAACACCACAAAAACAAAAAGTATTGATCCTACTTTGATCAAACTAAACAATCACATTCTACATACCTAGGGTAAGATGACATCTATATGTGATTCATTGGCAGAAAAAATCTAGAATTGCACTGACATCTAGTGCTGTTAACAGACTGTTAAACATCTTGTAATCAAAGACATTCAGCAAACACACAAAACTTAAGATCTTCAACTCTTGAGTAATTTAAATACTAACTTATGGATGCAAGAGTTGAAATTAATGGTAGCTCTAGATAAACATTTTTGTGACAATTTTGAGAATACTAAATCTCCAGATTTCAGATCCAGTACGCAAATAAAGACAAGAGACCAAGCAAGATAATGTATCAAATTTTTATCAAATTTTATGAAAATACACCACTGGAACTACATCGACTATGCACTCAGAATGGATAAAACCAGACTCCCCTATGGAGCCCTCATACGGGCTGAAGGGAAAAGAAAATGGGGAAGACCAAGAGAAACCCTGTGTAAAACCATCATCAAGGAAGGCTCAGTCAAGGGCCAAAAAAACATCGAAGGTCTAAAACAGGTGGCAACAAACCGCCAGACATGGAGAGCTATGACCTCTATCCTGTGCGCCACCCATGCATGGCACAAAAGGAAAGACTAACTAACTACAGAAATGGGAAAAATACGGTCTGAGATGAAAGAATCAAAACTTATAGTTTTTAGTTTTGGTAAAATGTCCTGGATATATGACCTCTTCACACCTTTTTGGCCTCTTCCTTGACACAGTCTCTTTCCACTTACACCAGCTGGCATGGTTTTTTCCTGCTCACTAATTTACTGCAAGCGCTGTCTCATCCGACTTGAATGCTTCTGAATGTGGGGTGAGGTTTTTCGTGTTATATAAGGATGCCTCTTCCTACTTATCTTTTTCTATCACTTCACCCCTTGTCACCATTTCCACACTATCAGCATCACGTAGCAGGTCCTTTGCAGAACGTCGCTCTCATCACAGTCTGCCTGAAAGAAACTCGGTCTCTTGCCAGTTCTCCCGCCTCATGAACTTTCACACTCAAGGAGTGACTTATATCCTGTGCCCATCTTCATGTCGGTCGGCCCCTGCCCCTCCTTCCTGGTACCATGCCTTCTGCTATAATTTTTTCCAATCCATCGTGGCTCTTGATATGACCAAAATATTTCAGCTTTCGAGAAAGGATGGTGTTTATTAGCCAATCTTCCTTGATGTTCAGATCTTTTAAGATGTCAATATTTGTCCATCTTCTTTGTCCAAGATATTCTGAGAATCTACTATCACTGTCAGTTATTTCATCAAGTTTGTTGTTTGCCATCCATTCTGTAATGTCATCTGCATTGACGTCCTCACAGCATAGTACTTTGTCATTATTGTATTACCAAACTTTTTTTTTAAAAAGAGAGTGAAGATGGCTTCTGTGCAGCTTATATTTCCAATGATCTGACCATGATTTGGTAATGCATTTTCCAAATTATCTACCTTAAATCAATGGTTTCATTTCTGAGTTACTGAGTTGAGTACTTGGTGCAACCTTGTGAGCTGTGTATTTCATGTTGAATTATTTTTTTGTCTGAGGCAGTCTGTGTTGTGATATTCAGAAAATAGTGGGTGATCAGTTTTATTAGCCTGGCAGTGTGTCTTATACAGTAATATTACAGGTGCTACTGTCATCTTGTCTTGACTGACTACCTCATTAACAGTGAAGTTCTGGTGGTGAACTCTTAGTATTGGAACCTCTAGTTGTATCCTGCACACACTTTAAGATATTACAAGGACTAATTTGTTAGTTCACTATTTTTCAAATGGACAGGAACAATATTGTGTTTGATTTTTACTGGCACAGGAACAGATCAGTTATGGGAGTGGCCTGTTTGCAATTAAGTTGAAACCTCAACCATTGACTTTGAAGGATATTGCTCTCATCAGAAGGACACTCAATTGATCACCATCTACCTTTTCTCATGCATTTTCATGTGCAGGAGTCTAAAATAACTTGTGTCCACCTCCATACTGGTCAAGCCCTACCCTTTCTTCCAGAAACGTTATCTTCCATTACTATTTTCTTAGGTCATTAAGATGTACAGTAGAACAAAGGTATATCTTGTACATGATGCTGCTTGTTGAGTCAGACTGTGTGTGTGTTGATTAGATATGAACAGAAGAGAGGAGGAGGATGAGAGGAGAGGAGAGAGAGAGAAAGAGAGAATTATGGCTGTGAGTACTATGCAATTTGGTAAGCAAGTAAAAAAAATCTCTTCAAGCCTCAGACATGTGGTTTGAAAAAAATTGATTGAGAAACTTGTTTGCACAGCAGAAATAAGCAATCTAAATGTTATTTAAAAAAAAAAAAAAACACATAATAAAACTTATCACAATCATCAGAAACTGGCACATTATGAGACGAGAAAAATCAAACCATGTTCTGACAACAGTAACGGTTTATGAAGAGATAAAGGAAAACAAAGCTGCAGGGATGTAGTTTTATAGAAGAATGATGAAAATACTGTAAACAGGTGGAAAACAAATAATTTCTGTTAATAAAGTTTACTGCAGATTTTGAAAACTTCGAAATAATTCTTTTAAAACTTTATTCTGTTATTGCCTAGTAGTAAGTAAGTAAAAAGTAAAGGACCCTTTTCCACACCAAGAAGAGTGATGTAGTCAGCATCAGGCCGGCCGCCTCTACTTCCTGGGACTGCACCCGGTACCCACTCAAGGAAGCGAACCCACGACCTTTCGATCCACGGCGAGCGTCTAGTCTAGCCGCTTCACCACGGGGACTCCCACTATTGTCCAGTACTACAATATATAGACAAAACTGGTTGCACACTCAAATCAAAACTCGCTGAAAATGAATCAAAAGTCAGTAAAAATTGATATGGTTTGTCATTGTCTGTCATGAAAAATGGACTGAATGCAGGCTCAGACATTTCAGTTATGGTATCAAAAATAAAATATTAATGAGAGAAGAAAAGATATAAAGCTACTTTGCAATAGTTTGACAAATATTTTGTTTCATTTGCTTCAGGATAAAGAGGGCACAGCAATTGAAAACATAGTAAGTTTCATGACCTAAAATTTGCTTATTTTATTATTTATTTTGTTTTTTCCTTCATTTTTGCCGCTGGTCTGGATTTGTTTAATTATTTATTCATTTTTCATTAATTTTTATAAGCTTCATCTTTGTTTAAAAGCATTCAGAACTTTTAATTGATGTAGTGTCATATAACCTGCCTTTTGTGTACATTTTCCAAAAATTTATAATTTGTATGACAGTTGCAATAAATGTCTTGGCTAAAATCCTATTACTGTCTTTAAAGACAATTACTACGTTGTCTTTATCATTAAGTATCAGTGCATTCTATTTATTTTATTGTTGTTGTTTTTAGCATTTGTGTTGATGTTTGAGTAGAATAAATATGCTTACTGATTTCTTATTCTAATTTCTCTGTCACCCTTACTAATCACTTCAACTGTTGGCACACTGTATTCTGTTTGCTTTGTATAATTTGCACATGTTATATCAATTGTTAATAACTACGTGTGAAATCCGATGTCTCCGAAGAGTCACCAACTTTACACGAAGAGACAGAGTCACAAACGTCAGCATTAGAGACAAAGTTGGAACAAGATCATGCATGAAACATATTGAAAGACAGAGAATGAAATAGTTTGGTCATTTAGTAAGAATGCAACCGGATCAGATTGCCTATAAGGCCTTTTACACTTGAACATCGGGAAGAAAGGCCAGAGGAAGACCCAGGAAAAAATGGATAGATGGAGTAGCTGAATACGGCCAGAAGATCCAGAAAACTGTCACTCAAATCACGCGAGAGGCACAATATTTTAAACCACGACACCTTGCTGCAACCCGGTAAAAGTGAAGAAGACAATAGATAGATAGATAGATATCAATTGTTTTCCTGACTTGATTTATGTGTCATGTAAAGTATTTTTACAATACTAAAAGTGGCAAGCATCACTTCAAAAGTCCCGGGTAGTTAGCATCCTTTGAATATTTTCTCCAGGTCATGCTGGTGTGTTGGGAAATGAGCATGACTGGCTGATTTTGCTCCACTTGGTGGTGAATTGAGGTATGACAAGCTGGATATTGTGAGGGCTCTTTTGGAGCGAGTGAACAGTGCCGAGGAACAGATAGATCATTACGGACTGAGGAGAATAGCACTGCGAGGAGTTACAGGGGGATCTGATCGACGCTCAGGGAAAAGGCGAGACAGATATACAATCAGACAGTTACTGGTGCCATCGGCATTGGAACTCTTTGCATGCTGCTGAAGATGGGGGCGGAGCGCTTATGGGGGTTATCACGAGTGCTGTGATGTTGATTCTTTCAACATTCAACATTACTAAAACTGACAGCCTAGAAATTTTGTTAGTAATTAATAGTTTTGTCATTCACATTCTAAAGCAGAAATTCATATTTTTACAGGCAAATGAAGTAGACCAAAACACATCCAGGACAGCTGGTGAAAAGCAGAATAAAAATCCAACTCATATCAAATCAGGAAGTATTGGAGGATACACAGAACAAAATGGCAATGGATACAAAAATTCAAATTCAGCTGCAAGTCAAGAAGCAAACATAAACCCTTTGCCCAACTCAGACCGATATGGTGTTGCCAAGCCTGCAAACATACGTACAAGTTCTCAACCTCACATCCCTATCTGCCGGCAAGACAGTGCACAGTCCGCAAACTCTCAAAATAGTACCACTTCTGGTAGGTTTTTTAACAGCTGTAGAAAAATTACCATTTTTTTCTACATGTTCAACAATATCTGGGGATCTCTTGAAGTTAATGTTCCTTACTATTAACTCCATATCTAAAATATCTGCAATTAGTTTTGACTCATTTTGTTTAGTCTCATACAACAGTTACTAATATAAAGTGAAATAAGGGATCCATTTTTATGCTTCAACACATATTAGGTATTTCAATAGACCAGTTAGCACTAAGTGAATGGTCTGTATCATGCCAGCTGTCTTTACTGTCACATATCACTCCTGTCGCGTGCCTAATGTAAGGATTTCTCCTTCAGAACCAACAGCACTCAGAGATAATTATGTTGAGTCGTTTGGCTCGTATTGGTCTAAGGGATTCCCCGTGGCCAATATACGATCAACTTATCTCTGGAGTAGGGCAACTCAAGTATTGGCACTACAAAATATGTCAGTATATGAATACAATATTTCTAGGCACACTTGGCTGGACACCCCCACTACTTACTAAAGAAAGCCCCCAGGTTATGATAAGTCATTATCATAACCATGTTAACACATCTAATGAAGATACATACACACACAACTGCTAAACACTTAAAAAGGTGAAATAGAGACACCTAAGTCAGCCATGAAAATGAATGCATGTAATCAGTAATATATATATAATAATGAAGTGAATTCCAGCTATCAGTGGAAGAATCTCAGAAAATAATGTCTAGATACCACAGATACTACACAGACAGTAGGTCCTGGAAATGACATGTTGTCATCATAGGGAAACATATGAGCTGTGAGGAATATTGCAAGTTAGGCATCAAACTGAACTTATCCTCTTTCCGTCCATGATGCTTCCCTCAGCTCCGGATGATTCGACTGTCTTTGACTCTGGGAATTCTTCTCCACTGGATCAAGTAGTCAGAGAGTACCTCACCATAGAAGCCACAGCACTGTACTGGTACCTAGCAAGTCTCTATCACCAGTTAGTACCCACAATGTCTTTGAGCCACACTAAGCTCTAGCACTGGTAGTCTGTTTGGGTTATGAGCTCCAGCATTTGATGATGTCAGGAACCTTCACAGGTGTTAGCTGGTGGGTAGGTGGTTTATGGTTAGTTTATGGTTGGTTGATGGTTGGTGGGTGTTGGTTGGACTGTGAAACTTCTGCCAGCTCCTCACAGAGGATACATCCTGTCAAGAAAATAACTCAGAATTAGTCATCACCAAGAGGGTAACATCTTGACAGGAAAGACAGAACAAGCATCAGTCCTCAACCCCCATCTGCTTACTCCACCCTGCTCTCCTGTTTCATTCCTCAGAATGCCTTTCCAGACCAAGAGACACAAGTCTCTTATATTCATCTGTCTGTTTAGTGCAAGAGAAGGCAAGTCAGATATACAGTGGAGATAGATAGAGTGTTCCAACACATATATCACCCCCCCCCCCCCCCCCCACTCCCCCTCTCTCCCCCCCCCCCCCCCCCCCCCCCCCCCCTCTGCACACAGACACCAATATTTACTGTCAGTACATTTATTCCTTACACTCCCAAAAAGCCCGTCATATCATTCATTGATCTGGGTCAATCACACTCATACCTGGTCGACAAAGTCCTGATCTAATTCTGTCCCCATTTTGTATGCACAAACTTCCACAGTTAGTTTAAAACGTACACACTTATAAGGGTATTGGTTTTACCAGTATGGGTGGGTTATTGAGGGCAAAGGCTATTTAGTCTGTACAGGGGAAGGTCTACGTTCGAATCCGCTTCTCTAGCGATCAAGAACGGGCGAACTAAGTGTGATCCCACAGCCGATACTGATCTCTCTACAGCAGTGACTACTTTACAGACATCATTTTAGGTACTCGTAAACTATAATTAACTTACCCAAGCATATGCAAAAACTGAGACATTCCAGATCGCCTTGAAAAGTGAAATTATGCAGGCATAGATTGACACGTCTGGACGCTAGGAAGCTGGCAAAGAGAATGACGTCACTTAGACGCTTCAGGCGTTGGTAAAAAAAGAAGTCCCTAGTATACATGGGCAAGGAGTGCATCGGTTTCTAAGAAACCTCAAATAACTCCTCTAATATATATCAACGATATATACATTTAAAAGTGGAGTTTAGTTAAAGCAACCAGAAAAGGTAGACATAATGTTGTCCAATAAAGACCTATATATATAGATATAAGGGACTATATCTTTCCGGACGAGTCCAAGTTTGAATTTTGTGAAGATTTACAGGTAAGTTAGGTTACCAGTCTTACAGACTGATGCGTAATGGCTTATCATTTCACGACATTTACATCTCAGAAAATTTCCTGTTACTTATTACATGTCAGAAAAAAAATTAAAGATAAATATTGGAATCATCATGTAGCAAGTCCTATGCAGAACATCACCCTCATCACCGTCTGCCTGTAAGAAACTTGCTGCTCTGGCCAGCTCTTCCATTTCATGCACTTGCACATCCAAATAGTCACTTATATCATATGCCCATCTCCCTATTGGTCGGTCCCTGCCCTTTCTTCCAGGTACCATGCCTTCTGCTATTATTGTTTTCCAGTCCAACTGTGGCACTTGATATGGCAACAGTATTTCACCTTCGGAGACATCATCATGTAGCAGGTCCTTTGCAGAACGTCGCTCATCACAGTCTGCCTGAAAGAAACTCGGTCTCTCGCCAGTTTTCCAGCCTCATGTACTTTCGTACTTAAGGAGTCACTTATATTCTGTGCCCATCTTCGTGTCAGATGGCCCCTGCCCTTCCTTCCTGGTACCATGCCTTTTGCTATAATTTTTTCCAATCCATCGTTGCGCTTGATATGACCAAAATATTTAAGCTTCCGAGAAAGGATGCTGTTTATTAGCCAATCTTCCTTGATGTTCAGATCTTTTAAGATGTCAATATTTCTCCTCTTCTCTGTCCAAAATATTCTGAGAATCTGGTGCTTAACCATAGACTTTTAAGGCTGTTCAATCTTTGCATTGCTATGGCCATCCTCCTTTTAATTTCTGTCGAACAGTCTCCATTGTTGTTTATTATAGAGCCTAGATATTCAAAGTTTGTGACATTTTCAGTTTCTTCATCATTTATTGTTATTTTTGGGTGACAGTCAGTTTTATCTGTGGACATTATTTTCGATTTCTTTAAATTCAAGAACAGATTTTGATCTTCACTGTGCTTTTGGACAGACAATATTACATTTTCTATTCCCTTTACACTGTTCGAAAGGAGGACTGTGTCATCTGCGTGGCGGAGTTCGGGAATAGGGTTGCCACAAATTTTGAGCGGATCATAACTCCCACAAGTCTGGTCATTTTTGACATTTCTCAATATATTTTCTGCGTATATATTGAATAGGTATGGTGAGAGAATGCACCCCTGCCTCACCCCCTTTTGCACCTCAAACCAATCAGATGTTTCACCAGCTGCTCTGATGGCTGCTTGTTGTTCATGATAAAGATTTTCAATTAAATGCACTGGAAACCTCATACTTTTCATAATAGTCCACAGTTTGCGGTGTTGGACACAATCAAATGCCTTGCTATAATCAATAAAACAAGCATGAAGATCTATGTTGTATTCTCTGCATTTTTCAAAAATTATTCTCATATTAAAGATGTGATCCCTAGTTCCCCTACCCTGTCTGAAACCGGCTTGTGCTTCATCTAGCTAATAATGTAATTTCCTTTAAATCCTTTTTATTATAATTTGTAAAAGGATTTTGCTAGCGTGACTTATTAATGCTATGGCACGGTAGTTGGAGCATAGTTTCAGATTTCCTTTCTTCGGGAAAGGGATATAGACTGTTCTTTTCCACGCTTTAGGCCAAATGCCACTGTTCCAGATCTTCGAGCACAGTGCATGGTAGATTCGGATGCTGGCCTCTCCTCCTGCTTGAATTAGTTCTGCTGGTATTTCGTCGCAACCTGGTGACTTTCCGTTCTTCAGGCTGTGTATTGCTGATCGTACCTTATCCAGTAAAGGCTCTGGTTCTTTTTCATAACTTTCACAAGTCGTTTTTGAATTACTTGTCACATCCTCATACATTTCTCTGCAGTATTCTTTACATCTTTCTAATATGTCTTTGGTTTCTGTTAATGTGTTACCTTTTTTATCACTTAATACATGAAAAGAAGGCCTGAATTCGCCTTTTAATGTTTTAATTTCTTTAAACATGTCTCTGTCTTTTCCTTGCATCTGGAGTTGTTTTTTATCTCCTCTGATAGCTCTTCTGATTTCTTTCATGTAGTTTCTATATGCATGGCTATTTTTTCTTCGGAGACAAGCTGCTGTTTATTAGCCAATCTTTCTTGATGTTCATATCTTTTAGAATGTCAGTATTTCTTCTCTTCTTTGTTAATGTTGTTTTGAGAATCTTTCTATAGCATTTCAGCTGCAAATCCCTATTTTTTTTCAAAGGACTGGGAGATAATCCTTGACTCACATCCGTATGTTTCTACAGGAAAGGTGCATGCTCTCAAAATTTTAACTTTGATTTCCTTACTGGAATTTAACCATAAAAAATAATCATCATTTAATTGTTATTTTGGGGTTATAACATGTTCTTCTGTGGACATCATTTTTGTTTTCTTTAAATTCAAAAACAGATTATGATCTTCAATGTGTTTTTAAACAGACAAGATGAAATGTTCAATTCCTTTTACATTGCTTGACATGAGGTCTGTCATTTGCATAGCAAATTTCCGGAATAGGTTGCCACCAGTTTTGATAACTGTCAGAAGCCTGGTCATTTTTAAAAAAAACATTTCTCATTTGATTTTATGCATATACTAGCTGTACCCGGCCACGCGTTGCTGTGGCATAGTTTGGCTAAATGGAAAAGAAAATAGAAATCGCACATGTCCAATATGGTTAATGGCGCGGTCATTGTCTGCACAGATATAGTTTTCAATATCACCCTCCCCCCTTTCCCCCACCAAATCCACCTACTACTCTCTGCCTCGTCGAAGGTTCTTCGAAAAGAAAGAAAATAGAAATCGCACATATCTAATATAGTTAATGTCACAATCATTGTCTGCACAGATATAGAGAGAGTCTGGTTTGCCGATTTTAGAACACGCAACATATAATTGTGTCTTTATATTAGTGGTCATTTAAATGGTATTATTAGGACTCAAAACAGTGTTGTCCTGTAATGAATTTAAATAATGCAGACACAAACAATACATTGCACAATTTATTGCCAGGCATATTTCGCTGTATCTGATCAGGTGCTTTACTACAGAGTTACATCAACATTATGTGGCCAAAGAACAGGGGTTTGTCTCTTTCTTATCACATACCTGCAGTGATCACTTGGTCATGCATAATAGCGGTGCACCGTGTCGTTCGCATAAATTCTTAAAACAACTCTTTTATATTCCTAACTTTCAATTCCAACGTGAACACACAACATGTTATTGTGTCTTTATATTAGTGGTCGTTTAAATTGCATTATTAGGACCCCCCCAAAATACTTTTTTCTCTGTCACTTGCCAAATCTGTTAGTATTTTTAGGAAGCTAAAAAAAAAAGCTTACAACTGTACTTGTTAATAACCAACTAATTCGCGAAAAAAAAAAAAAGAGAATAGCTGAGGTTGCATTAGTGAAATATTAAAAAGTAAAAATGAACATTTTTAGGACTGCATGGCTAGTGCTGTCGCCATGACTGTGTAAGTGAGGATTTTATTTTGCCCCTGAGTTAAACAAAAAATCATCAGCATAAGAGCCCAGCGTTCTAGCCATTTGGCTAGCCGCTCCTTCGTGAAATCAACCAAAAAAATAGAGGGGTGTGTCCGACTACTGCGCATGCACATTCTACGAACATGGCAATAATAAAATGTCACTAAAATGAAATTTTAGTTTCGGAAATGTTCCCAACAAATGTCGCACAATTTTTCAAACCATGACAGGTAGCATCCTGGTATCAAAACAAACATATTCTGAAAATTTCAGCTAAATCAGTTCAATAGTTTTCGAGTCTATAGGTGACAAACAAACAAACAAACATTAAAAAAAAAATATATAGATATCAAATAGGGGGAAGCTGAAATATTTTGGTCATTTAAAGCGCCACAACGAATTGGAAAAAAATAATAGCAGAAGGCATGGACCAGGAAGGAAGGGGCAAGTACTGACAAACACGAAGATGGGCTCAAGATATAAGTGACTCCTTGAGTATGAAAGTACATGAGGCAGGAAAGCTGGCGAGATACCGAGTTTCTTTCAGGCAGACCAGGATGAGAGTGACGTTCTGCAAAGGACCGGCTACATAATGATGATGATATCAAATAGGTATGGTGCGAAAATGAATCCGTGCCTCACTCCCTTTGCATCTCAAAATAGTCTAATTTGTCTCTGGCTGTTCTGATGGCTGCATGTAGTTCATTATAAAAGCTTTCAGTTAAACTCACAAAATGTGCTGGAAACTGCTGATGGTATGATAGAGCATAGTTTCAAATAACCTTTCTTTGGTAGAGGCATATAGATTGTTATTTTCCACACTTTAGTCCAAATGATGCTGTTTCAAATCTTCATGCACAGTGCACGGTAGATTCTGATACTGACTCCTCTTCCTGCCTGAATTAGTTCTGCTGGTATTTCATTGCAACCTGGTGACTTTCCTTTCTTTAGACTTCATTACTGATCATACCTCATCCAGTAAAAGTTCTGGTTCTTTATTATCAATTCATAGGTTGTTTCTTGGTATCAAAGAAACAAATTATTCTTAAATGTGTAATAAAAGTCAATGATGTTATTTTAGGACAAGTACAGAAATTTAAATATCTGGGCACATGGATAACTTCAGATGGAAGATGCATAACTGAAATAGGAAACAGAATTGGACAGGCAAAAACTGCATTTTATAAAATGAAAAACATCTTGTGCAATATATCCTTGTCATTGAGAGTTAGAAAAAGAATTCTTGCTTGCTACATACATCCAGTGTTAACATATGGATGTGAATCCTGGACAATCGGTAGGCAGGCCAAACAATTTTTAGAGGCCTCAGAGATGTGGTTTTACAGAAGAATGCTTAGAATACCTTGGCCAGCCAAAAAGAGCAACCAAGAGGTTTTGAAAGAGGTGGGAGCCCGAAGACAACTTATCACAGACATCAGAAGGAGACAGTCATCATTTTTCTGCCATGTTATGAGAAGAGGGAAAATAGAACATGTTGTGACCACTGGAAAGATCTGTGGAAAAAGGGATAGAGGAAGACAACGAGAGAAGATGCTTGACAGTCTTGTCGCATGGCATGGAGGTGTGTCGGCACACGAACTGATACATGCTGCAGGAGATCGCAGATTATGGAGAGGCATGATCGCCCACGCCAGTCGGCAAGGCACCTGATGATGATGAAGGTTATTTCTGAATTACTTATCTGATTCTCAAAAAATTTTTTGTAGTATTATTGCATCTTTCTAATATGTCTTTAGGTTCTGTAATGTTATTAATGTTTGTATCATTAATTACTTGAAGCGATGGCCTGAATTCTCCTTTTAATGCTCTAATTTCTTTTTAAATGTCTCTGTCCTTTTATTTTCTAAAAAACATCTAGAGTTGTTCTATTCTTTTACAGGTGTTCACTATAATCTGTTTATTGTCTTCTCTGATAGTTTTTATGATTTCTCTTCTTTGGTTCCTTTATGCAAGCTATTTGTTTCTGTACCTGTTTGTTTAAAATATCTTTTTTTTCTTTTTTTTTAGCTGAAATCTGTTTTTTTCTGTGATGTACATCTGCTTCTTGTGTCATTTTGTAGAGACCATGTTTTGTGCTGATGTGATGATAATATTTCTTGCTTCATTGGCTAACTCATGAGATTTCATGTCATCCTGCACTGCCATCAGTGCCTCAGGTTTGTTTTTAGCCTGAATGTTAACGAAAGTGTAAGTTTTCCTTTTTTTTTTCTCAACTTTTTTTTCTGTGAATGACTGTTGTTTCCGGAATGTGTTATTTTTGTGAGTAAAAACAATGCAGAAAACCAAACCCTTTCCCTTTTCTGAATAAACAAATGTATCTTTTGTTTTAGTCACAAAGTGGCCTTGATCCACCCATCTATATTCAGAAATTCCTAGTATATCTGTTTTGTGTCTTTCAAGTGAGAATTATAACATTTGCTAATATTTGTTCTAGTGCCTACCACAGCGCCCATGGTTAGAATGCAGTCAGGCACACTTGCACTGGAGAATGGATCTATAGCTGCATACCCCATACAGTCCACAAAACTATCTGGTAAGTTGTGTTCTAGTAAATGTTAGGAATAATCATAATATGAGAGGACAGTTTGAAATCTTTACAACCAGTGTGCCACTGTAATGATTTTTATGTGTAACTTGAGACGTTTTCTATCGAAGATGGACCATCTACGGGTCTGCTAAGAATGCTTTGCTATTGGTTCTTCAGTCCGTACTGATCTTTTCAACGAATGTGTTATGTTTCCTAAATAAACTTCATTGGTATACATCTGCTTCCTAATAATTCCAACTTCATTTATGTCTTGTTTAGATGCGAAAATAGTTTGCTTGGTATGCAACCTTTGTTTGGATTATGACCAGTGTGTTGGAACTTGTTTGAGTTGAAGTGAGTCATGACACCGCATGCTACCCTTGTTTACCTCTCAAGATAAAGCCATGACTACCTAGGAATGTCAGTACCTCAGTTGCTACCATTTAGAGAACAACTCACACCATAACTCTGTGAATTTTCACGTGATTTCGTGTTTTTCCCTCATACATTTTAAGTAAATTTGTTAACCATGAGTTTTAAGAAATTAATGAGAAAAGCCAAGCAATGAAGAAAATGGCTAGGATTACTGTGGGGATGAAAAAAGTGATTTTTTTTTCAAAGCAATGAAGGTGGCATGAAGAACCTATGGCAGAGAGCTAGTAAATTGGTTAAAGTAAAAATCTTGAGATCATGCATTTTTCCTGTGGCAACTTATGGTTGCAAGTCACTGAGGAAAAAGATTGGAGCTTTTGAATCAAAATGTTATAGAAAAATTCTTAGAAAACCATGGATCAAGAAGCGGAGAAACATAGACATTCTAAATCAGTTGAACATCAGGTAGAACTGGCTCATAAACAGCATCCTGTCCCGAAAGTTGAAGTATTTTAGCCACATCAAGCATCATGGTGGCTTGGAAAAGATGGTGATGGAGGGTGCAGTTTTTGTAAGGCGAGGCAAGGATCGACCACCGCGAAGATGGATACAAGACATTGAAGAAGCATTGGCATTGAAAGCACATGGGACCAAAGAGCCAGCTAGGTAAAGGCATACTTTTAGGCGTGCCGTGAAGAGAGCGACGTTCTTTAACTGATTGATGATGATGTAGATGGCATGTGTTCTGGGGTCTTGGCTACTGCACACCATATGCGGAGAATGATGGTATCCACTATTGTGAAAAACAAAGATGTTATTAAATTTTAAAAATTTGATTAACATTGTGAAGGGTTGAAATTGATTACCAAACAAAGATTAGGAACTGGCGTGGAACAGTTAAAATTTTCTCACACTGGTAGTGGGTAAAGTAAAGATCCCCTTTCACGCCTTTAGGTGTATCGGGCATATGGGAAAGGCACCCATATTTTTACAGACCAATCAGTACTAGGTGGGTAATGCGATCAGCATTACGCCTGCTGTATTTACTTCCCCTGGACATACATCCTGGTACCTAGTTTAGGCTGGATTGACCTACGATGCCCCATACCATGAAAATCCATGCAGCCAGCAGTGAGTTTCGATCAGTTTGTTGTAATTACAAATTAGACTCACAACGCCTAGCCATGGATGCCGCCTGGTAGTAAGTGTGGGTTTGACATCCTCCCTTCTGATCTAAGTGAGAAACCAAGACAGCTACCTTATGATGATAAAGATATACTGACTTTGGATATGCAGAGACAGCTTAGAATTGGCTTGGGAAATTGGTTAAGCCGACTGAGTATCCACAGAAATGGGCAAGGGGAGTTTGGATGCCTAGCACGCTTCATAAATGAATAGCTTGACAGAGCAGATTACCCCTCGAGACATTTTCCCTTTCTGGTCATTGAGTGAAGCCACTGTCTAGAAGAGGTAAATTGATAGACAACACTAAACTGATAACATACACACATTTAGAATGTTTATCATAGTCCCTTGTGGAAAGATTGACAGACTGACCTCCACGTTCGTACAAGTAGAAAAACCTTTCAAGTGAAATCTGCAGCACACAGTGTCACAACATGCACTCAGCTCAGAAGCTGGGCGACGAAACATATAATTTCAGTGTATAAATAGAGCAAAAATGCACCCGACACCGTCTGGCAGAAGCAAAAAAATTTGCCACGGCTCGCAACCTTGACCCTGCCTAGCGTCCATTTTGACCGGAAGATCGACATAGGGACTTTAAGGGCTTTAAAACTGCAAATAGTGGAAAATGTTTTCTCTCTGGGCAGGTCCATGGGTCTAGATGTGAGTGATGACCACTGATATGAAGTTATTGGAGGGGCACATGGAAGAGCTGACCACTAAAGAGCTGCAGGAACCTGAGAAGGAGGAGCACAAGACTAAGATTGATGCATCTCTTTAGGCTCAGAGGAGGAGAAGATAGAGAAAGCCTCTACTTCATTAATCAAGTAAATATTCGCCAGTTGGATGGATATAAAAACTTTGCAGAGAAGTACCACTCAAAAAAGCCCAAGCAAGCCATAATAGTAGTTCTGGAATGACCAAGTAGGGTATGGAATGACCACAATGTCACATTTTTGAAATGTTTGTCAAATGGATGGAAAAACTTTGCTGAGAAGTACCACCCAATGAAGCCCAAACAAGCCATAATGCAGTGTCTGGAATGACCATACCTAATCACATTTTCATAACATCTCAAGAAGGCAGAAAGACCCAAAGTTCTTTTGACAGATTTTTAGTAAAAGTTAAACCTGGTGAGCCTCAAGCAGGTAATAGTAGGGAAAAGAGACAAAAGAAAAAAGAAACAAACAAACAAAAAGAAATAGAAAAAACACCATAATTTTAGGTTCCTAAAGTTTTATTGAAGGGGCCTCTCTTTCCCAGCACCATCATAGTAGGCACTCGACTCTTCTTAGCAGAGTCAAATCAGGTTACTTTTATCAAATTGCTTTTTTATTAATGTATTTTAGTATTAAATAGTGTTTAATTTGTTTTTGTACAACTACAATGTATAACATAATGTCATTTATTTTTCTTCAGAACAGATTAATCAATATCCCTTTATTTCTTGTGAGAAAATTAGTTTGGCAATTAGTCCAAGGATCTGGAATCGGTTAAGGAAATAAGCCAAAGATAGCACTGCATATAGAAAAGTTCAGATTACCAGTAATGTTTTATTTTGTCAGATGCATCTATTCTGGAGCCAACACCAATAGCAGAACTGAAAATGATGAAATCATTTCTTAAGGCTGTGTCAAAACGTGACAAGGATTTAGAAATTCTCAGACGTAAACATGAAAAGGTAAATATGACAGAAAGATTTGTGTATAAACAAAATAAATTTTTTTCCAACTTGATGCTGCAATTTAAGTCAAATTCTTGGTTGTTCTGAAAAGTTGGTAAGTTGTGTTTTATCGTTAAAAGATAGCTGCAGTAATTTCTCCTTTCAGCTAAGGAATGCATCTTTACAACTGCGGTTTAGGGCTAGGCTTTGTACCTCTTTTCTGTTCCTACTCTTTCAGCCAAATTTAAGTTTTCATTACCACCATTTAGAATCTTATTAAGAGTTCTGGTTAGCTATGTTTTACTAACCTATATTACGTACTGCCATTATTTCTGATGCAGATGTTCATCCATGTCATGATTTTAAACTGTCCAGGATTCGTTCTCATAACCAGCAGAGAGTATACAATTAACTAGTTTTGACAGACATCAATAGAAGGAATAAAAGACTTCTCATAGTTAAAAGATGGCAAGGACCATCTGCTACTGATTAGTGCTGACTGGTACTTGCCCTGATAGGATCTGCGATAAAAGAAACAAGTGCATATGTGTAATGTCTAGATTACACACATCACGCATATTCAAATAAACATATTTCACTCCTCCTCCTCATATTCACATTCTCTCCAGTCTAGTCTGAAGGTCTTATATCATGTCTCACACTGATATCCACATAGCCTGCCTTCCCTCTCATGTCCTGTCATGATAGTTGAAGTCCTATAAGTTGGTTGTCCATCCTCACTCTGACTTGAAAACTGGCTGACAGGTTTTGACATGGACATGTGGTACAAGTAAAGTCCTGGGAAGTAAAGTTGTCTGGCATGATGTCTATCACATCACCCATCAAGGACCAACTGGTTGATAAAAGTATGAATCTACTCTCAAATGTCAGATGCACTCCTGGCATGAAAAGGGACCTTTTATTACATATATGCCAAAGTTGGATAACAATATTATCCTTTTCATTATGTTGTCATGGCCTGCACCACTTCTATGCTGTTCCTCTGTATCCTCTTGCAACTGACACTTCTTGGATTTAAGCACATCTTTTTATCATAAAAAGCAAGAGAGGTGGTTTTTGATGGCATAAATATAATTCACTAACAGAAATGTGTGTGCAGTTGATAGGGACAGTGCATGGTGAGGAATGGGTTTTTTATGATAAAGGCCATTGTAAAACTCTGTGAGATCAAGTAATTAGTGCAACAGAACAGACATGGCACCCATCATATCTGGAGAGAATGATTCAGCTAGGAGCAAGCAGAGGGTCTGGATGATTTTCTACCAACATGAGAAAAAAAGTCAGACTTTTTATAGGTTGCAGCTGCCACCATCAGTATAGAAACTCTTTGCTGGTTACTGAGGAAGGAAACCAGCCACACTTGGGAATGTACCAAGTGCAGTGATATCAATTCTTGATTCATTTATTTATTTATTCATTCATCATAAACAGCAAACAAACAAACACAATTTGAAATACTGTCTTTTTGTTCAGTACCACCATTTACTTTAACCTTCCGACATGTGATTCATACTTTGCTGAACCTGTTACTTGCATTTGTTATCACTCTTGCTGTCCATCATAATTGCATTATCAATTTATTTGTATATGTGTGATGATTTGTATGCATGTGTAGGCGTGTTTGTTTACGTATAATTATGTGTAGGTATGAGGGTGTATAGGTGAAAAGTGTGTCTGTGTGCGTGTTTGTTTGTGCATGTGTGTGTGTGTGTGTCTCTGTTTTTACCCTGTGTTAGTGTGACTGTCTGTGTGGCTGCATGTGTGTGTGTGGCTGCATGTGTGTCTTTGAGTGTGTGTGTGTGTCTGTGTGTTATTCTGTGTGTACAGTGTGTGTCTTTGTGTATGCCTGTGTCTCTGTGTGTCTTTGAGAGTGTGTGTTTGTTAGTGTGTGTGTGTGTCTGCATGTGAATCTGTCTGGGTGTTTCGCTGCATTCTTCTTTGAGAGAGAGAGAGAGGGGGATATGTGTGTGTGTAAGAGACTGTGTGTCTTTGTGTGTGTGTGTGTCTCTGTGTGTGCCTGTGTCTGTGTGTAACTGTTTGTGTGTATGTGTGTGTCTGTGTGTGCATGTGTGTGTGTGTCTTTGAGGTTGTGTCTGAGTGTGTGTCTGTGTATGCGTGCATGACTGTGATTCTCTGTGTGTATGTGTGTTTACTGCACATGTTACTTTGAGTGTGTGTCTGTGTATGCGTGCATGACTGATTCTCTGTGTGTATGTGTGTTTACTGCACATGTTACTTTGAGTGTGTGTTTGCATGTCTCTGTGTGTTTGGCTACGTGTGTGTCTTTGAGTGTTTGTGTATCTGTGAGTGTATGAATGTATGTGTGAATATGTGTGTTCATCCCTGTATGTATGTATATGTGTGTGGGTGTGTGTGCATGCGTGCGTGCGTGCCTGTGTGCGTGTGCACATGTGGGTGCATGGAGGTGAGGTGAGTGAATGTATGTATCATGCTTTTGTGTTTTAGCTTGGTATTTATAATATACATATTATTCTTTGTACTTAACATGCTTTTTTGATAAAATACTACTTTTGTGTGAAAGATGAGTTTTTGGAAGGCCAAATGTAAGACAGACTTGTGTGCCCAATTTGTGATCCTTTCAAAATAAAGTTTGTTTGTTTGTTCATTCCTAATAAGGAAATATTTTTTATTGTTAAGACACTGCAAGCGATGGAAGAACAGCACCAATTCTTTTTAGGAAAGCTCATCTCTGGCCAGACTAAAGCACGAATTTCTGTGGAGAAACGACATTCTAAAATTCTCAGGAAAATGGCTAAGGAAGGTATAGAAACAGAAGAGAAACAGAATTTACTCAAAAAAGAAATGCAAGAGCTTTTAACCATTCAGGACCAAAAGGTAATCTATGATTTTAGTCAGTACAGTTTTGTACTTCATTATAAACTGTCTGGATAAGTAAAGTTTTGTTTTGAAATTTTTTGTTTTGATTTTTAAAACATGGCAGTCATGTCACATCTAAAATTAGTCCTTTTTGTGCCAGTTATCATATCATCATACACTGATCTATAGCTTTGCTAGAGTCCCAGTCAGCTTGCAATATGAAGCATGATCAAATGAAACATTTCTTTGCAGCATCACATTAGACACCTCACTTGGCGCTTGATTTTGTCTTAGCGTGGAGCCAAATGTGTGAGAATCAAGATCGGACCCCCTGGAGAGCAGATTGTAAGAAGTGAAAGGAGTATTGGAAGAACAAAACAATTAACAGTGTAAAACCGCCACCTTCAGTCTACTTGATGAATACCCACAAGTTCATGTCTACATGGGTGGGTCAGTACAAAATGCAAGCACAAATGGAGCAGCAGGAGGGTACATTGAGCATGCAAATAGCATCAGATATACAGCCAAAATACCTACAGGAAAGCACTGTGACACCTACTATGCAGAAGTTCAAGTCATAAAAATAGCAGCAGAGAAATTACTAAATATTTGTCCTATTTCATTCCCTTGAAATACACCATTTAATTCCTGACATATGCAAAATGATATTGCACACACTCGAATTCAGAAAACACTAGGTGTATGGACACTACCCTCCAAACTAAGCAACTGATATAAGGTAATTATGCAGTGAATGCCATCCGACTGTGGAGCTCCCTAAAATGAGGGAGCTGGTAAACTAGCTAAGGGAGGTGCAAATGAAGAATAGTCTGATGCAACAGTCTCTTCATCAACAAAGGAAGAGAATAATCAAATCAATTAGAAAACCACAAAAACTGGCTCAAGATGATTACCATTTTATGGACAGACGAGAGCAAGTCATTATTCTACGCTTTAGAACAGGACACAGTCGACTTCACAACCATATGTACACACAATTTAAGATTGGCGAATCAGCCATGTGAAAATGTGGATTGGCGTAGCACAGCTGCCTTCTTTGCTCATGTTGATGTCACACCTAGGTTCGTCTTTAGTTTGCTACAGGATGAGTCAATGGCAAGGGTATAGACGAGGAGAAAGATGGCCCTGTCGGTTGTGGTGATGATGATGATGTTCTGCTTGCTTCTCACGTGACTCTCATGCTTGTATAAAAAAATGCCTGGAAACAACTGTTCTTTTCTATACTGTCTTTATTGTGATACCTCAGCAATGTCACAAACAACATCAGTGATATTCTAAATGGCTTCTGCTTTAGCTTTATGGTTACATACTCTTTAGATTGTGTTGTGTTCTTCATCTCTGGATACTTTGTTAACTGGTTCTAGTGTCTGTAAACTGCCACCTTGGTTCTAGTGCTGTCTGGTACTAACAGTTTGATAGTTGATTCTAACATCTCAATAATGTTGCTACTAAATATGTCTCTGTTATTGATTGATCCATGTATCTTGTGTTTTGTCTCTGTAGCTCGATGTCTTGTTTCATGTCTCCTCTCTAGTGTCTGTCTTCGAGGCTCCATGTGACTGGCTTCTCTTTTATAGTGTTGAGCTGACATCTCCACAACTGAAGGTTCTTTTTGAGGGTCCATGTTACTAGTCTGTCCTCTTCTAAGTCTCGTAGACTGAAGGATTGCCCAAGTGGTTTCTTACTCATTATTTATACTGAGATTCTTGAATGCATGATTTGTTTTCTACTCACTTTGACTGCTTCTAGAAGCAGAAGATTTTCTAATTACGTCTAGATTGCATCATCTTGTTCTGCACCTAAATATACTCATTTGTTTGACAGCTGGCCTTATGGAAACTTCCAGAAAGCCAGTACTACTGCATTCACTTTGAAAGGGCACGTCAACAATTACATCATTTACTATTTATAGATCTTTCATTTGCAAAATATTTCTCTGGTAATTACAAATGATTATTCTAGAAAGGTTGCCAAAACTTGTTGATTCTGGTACATAATAACTTTGCGCAATATCATACTTCCTAACAAACAAGTGATGACATCTCCCTGTTACATTGGCATCTGAGACAACAAATCACGTCCTCAAAGATTGTCCCAAATACAACATATCAAGTCAAAACTTTTGGCCAAGAGAATCACTAGCCAAACTTTATTTGACAGAGTCGACAGACAATTATTATGGAAAGTAATGAAAAGATATGGAGTAAGCGAACACCTCATCGAAGTGTGCAAAAGTTTTTACAGGGATTGTAGAAGTGTAGTTAGAATAAATCAGGGAAATCAGGGAACATCTCATCCATTCACAGTAACATCTGGAGTAAGACAGGGGTGTGTCTTATCACCACTGCTGTTTATCACCTACATCGACAGTATACGCAAGAATACCAAGCCCATGAATGAAAATGTTAGTAAGATCAACGAATTACTCTTTGCAGATGACCAGGCCTTGATAGCAGATACAGCCATGAAATTGCAATAACATCTAACATCCATGAATGAAGAATGTAAAACAAATAATATGAGAATCAACACTGAAAAGACAGAAGTAATGTCAATAGGAAAAAAGAAGACAGATCTAAACATAGCAATAGAGTACAAAGACATTAAACAGGCATCTGAGTTTAAATATCTGGGAACTACATTTACCGAAGATGGGAAATTGGATAACGAAATTATCATTAGGTGCAGTAAAGCAAACCAAGTATTGGAACAGCTAGCCCCCCTCTTACAGCATAAGACAATCCCAGTCAGCACAAAGAGACGTCTTATTTAAAGCTTTTTTTTTCCAACTCTGTGCTACCAGTGCCAGACATGGGCACTCACAACAAACCATAAAAGAAAATTAGCAGCCATGGAAATGAGATGTCTGAGAAGGGCTGTAGGAGTGACCATAAGAGAGTTCAGGAATGAGATCATAAGAGAAAAAGTCGGCACAGAACCAATTCTAAATTACATACAAAGACAGCAAGTGAAATGGTTTGCTCACTTAGAGAGAATGCCTTGTGACAACATACCATACAAAGCATACATGGAAAGAGAAGGACGTAGAGCAAGAGGTAGACCAAGCTAAATATGGAAGGATAACATCAGAGAAACTCTACAACAGCACGATGTACCTATTGTCGAGGCGACCAGAAGAGCTAGAAACAGAACCTTATATCTCTCTCGACACCCACAGCGGTGAAAGAGGAAGTGAAGAAGAAGAAGAAGAACACCTGGTACCTATTTGAGTCTATAACTGAAAAATGTTCCTTAACTCATTGGGTCTTAAGAAAGGCATCACACACTAATTGGTTACTACCCCAGGTGCCAGTCAGTGTGTGACCCGTTCAGGTTTTTAATTTACAACTGGCCATTATAACAATGCAAACAGGCAGTTTTGAATGATATTTCTCATTCTCTGTGTTTGATGTTACACATGGTGACCATTGGGCTTAGTCGGAAACATGGTTAAAACCCTAAATTGTAGCATGTTTGTGAGCTTTCCTTCGTTACAAAGTGTTTGTGTAAAAACAATATGGCCTCTGAGCCGAATTCTTCATGCATGCCAACAAGACTTTTGACTTTAGAAGCCTCATATTTAAATAAAACACGTGTTTATCAGATTTATTCAAAGCTAGACAAAAAAAGTTATGAAGTTGACATGTTTCAGTCTTTGATAAAGTCAAACATTGATGAGGGATAGCTCTGATGTATACCTTATGCAAAGCCTACAGTGATAACAAATTTAGCAATATTTGGCTTCTAGAGAGCATGACATAAGTTTATTCAGCAGCTTGATGTGCTGTATGATTGCCATAACTTCCTGTTTTTGCCTACAACTTTGTTGCTTATTATTTTAAATAGTTAAGTGCTGTCTGGATTTGTTTAAATGAATCTTCAATGCTTTTGTCTCTCATTCTGACAGACTGCGTTTTATTATTAATTTTTGTATTGCTGTCTGCTACTTCCTATGTGCCTTTAATTTTTCTTTTTACTTCTTTCCAGCATTCACCTTGTGAAAATCTTTATCGCTCTATATCTTGCCTATAATCATCAAGTTAGGAAGAACTTTCTTCAGAAAACCTTTCTATAGGTTGTATATAAAAATTATATTCTTTACCTCTGTTATCCTACTAAATCATTGCTTGTGGATTCTGCTTATTCTGTCTGTCTGTCTGTCTGTCTGTCTGTCTGTCTGTCTGTCTGTCTGTCTGTCTGTCTGTCTGTCTGTCTGTCTGTCTGTCTGTCTGTCTGTCTGTCTGTCTGTCTGTCTGTCTGTCTGTCTCTGTCTCTCTCTCTCTCTCTCTCTCTCTCTCTCTCTCTCTCTCTCTCTCTCTCTCTCTCTCTCTCTCTCTCTCTCTCTCTTTTTCTCACTCTCTATTTCTGCTGCATCTGACAGTCAGTATTGTTGGTGTTGTAATTATAAGGGGAAGCTAATTCACATGACCATACCACCTAACATATAGTCCATTGCTGACATTGCGCTGTCTTTCTTAATGATATTATTATTTCTGATCTTGTCTGTTCTTTTCACTTTATTCTTGCGGCATTTCATCTGCTTTCGCACAATATTCTTGTTATTTACTACTGTCATTTTCCAGTTTGTTTGTTTATTTAACGGATCAACATCATGGCACACGGGTGTAACCCATAAGTGCTCTGTTCTACTTGTAAATTAAGCCTGAGTCTGATGAATCTCGGCACAGTGCAGGAACTCCGTTGCACCTGCAAGGATCCTGAAATACTTTGGGTAGATTTTCAACTCCAAATTTTGCCCGGACAGCACCATTAGGGAACTCTTTTTCTATATTGTCATCTACTCCATTTCATCTCTTCCTATACTGTAAAAAAAAAAAAAAGCGCATAGTTATCCAATGGCACATTTTTATTAGTTTGTAAATTAAATATCGTACTCAGGTATGGGAAAAGCAGACTCAAATGTTGTTTACCATGTCCACTGGACATATGGGTGGGAATTGAGTGGGTTTTTGTAATCTTTACAACACAGTGGTCAGTTGTCTTACACATAGCTCACAATGCGCACATGAGAAAGCAACACAATTTGCAGTGAACACTATTCACTGCCTACGTAGTTGAAACCCTATAAAATGATAACACTACACCAAAACAATCAGTTCATTTTCAAGCAGTCAAAAATGGCGCCTCTTTTGATAAATTTAAGGAATGTTGCTGTTGGCCAATTGCAGGCAGGAGAAAGTCAAAGTACGGTTTCCAGGCATCTAAACGTGCATCAGAGTACCATCAGTCGACTTTAGCACTGGTTCCAAGCCACTGGTTTAGTTGAAGACCGAGGATCGCAGTGGACGACCCAGAGTGACAGCAGCAGCGGAGAATCACTTTTTTCGGGTTCATCACCTCAGAGACAGGTTTACAACAGCTTCTTCAACTGTACAGGCATTGCCTCCAGGCATTGCCATGTGTCTGATCAAACTGTTTGGAATAGACTGCATCATGTTGGACTTTGGGCTCGACAACCACACCAAGGACCTGTCCTTACACTTCGCCACCGCCAAAATGGACTTCTTTGGGCTAACCAACTTCTTGCCTGGACAAGTGACAACCAGTGGAGGCGTGTTTGGTTCAGTGACCAATCTTTCTTTTTGTTGCAGTGTAATGATAGACAGCGTAGACAAAATAAAGGTTTAGCCCAAAATTGGTTGATTGAGCTCTGCTACACGGTGGTGGAGGTGTAATGGTGTGGGGAATGATCAGTTACAATCAGAACAACGGAAGGAGTTAATTATTGCACATTAAAGGAAGCTTGTATGGGCAACAATATGTTCATGAAATTTTTCAGTCATATGTCCTTCCATTTTGGGATGCCAACAGATATATTTTTCAACAGGACAATGCCAGATCCCATTCTGCACAGCTGATCACGCAGTCCCTGGCTGCCAATAACATTCAAACCCTTCCCTGGCCATTCCTGGCTGCAGACATGAGTCCGATTGAGCACCTGTGGGATGAGCTGCAAAGACTTGGTTGTCACCAAAACATTGCTCCAGCCAATGGTCGTAATCTGTTACAGGCACTCCAGGAAAAGTGGGCAGCCATCCCATAGGCCCATATCAGATATCTGATCGCGTCCATGCCCAGGAGATGCCTGTCACTGATTCAAGCAAGAGGAGGCCACACACCATACTTACTGGAAAGGCCTACGCTTAAAAACTGTTGTTACCGAGCTGGAAAAAAAAAGGTGTCAATTGATTGATGGAGCCCTAAGGTATTCTTGTGTGAAATTTGAGTAATTTCCCTCACTGCATTACAAAGAAGCAGAATGTCAAAATCGGGAATATGTATGTTCCTTTCAGTAACTATGTGTTTCTCTTTTGTATATATATTGGAATAGATGAAAGTAAAGGTTGATTGCTTAAGAAGACCATGCCATTTTTTTGACAAAAAGTCAATCATAAAGCAAATCACTATAATCAGTCATTCATCACACACTCACACAAACCGATTTTAATTGGTTCTTCTGTATGATACATGATCGTCATCCAGTTACAAAGAATTACCAACATCACATTGGAAAATGCTCACAGAAACAGCACTTTGGGGAGATCATCTTGTTGACGACGCACAACGCTAAATGGCTACCTTGCTAAACTGTTCATAAAAAGACTTGAACTTTATTTTGTATCGATTAACACATGTTTATCCAGTAATGGTGACATTTGAGCAACTGTATATTTTCCTTGGCGCCTCTGTGTGTTGATGTCTCCAATATATTATCATCGTATCGTAAATATTTTGTATATTTATCTTGCCACATAGCATCAAGATGTCAAGGCTGCATATAGCTTTACTGTCAAGAATATCTGCAAAGAACATTATCATATGGAGCTTGAATTGAAGACTAGACACCATGATCAAATCTATGATGTTCTTCATAAGCTTATGGAAGCTAATCATGCAGCACACGCTAAAGCCCTTGATGAAATACATGAAAAGGAAGTCATAGAGCTCAAGAAGAAGATGGACTATCAGAGCAGAGAATATATGAAGATACTTGGCAAAAAACATAAGGATAAGCAAGAGCTGTCAAGGTTAGACATTTTAATTTTATTTCAGAAATGTTTTTTTTTTAAACATGACAGGTACTACATTTTTTTCTTTCCAGTAATTGACAATTTATTATATTCACACTTTTGGATTGATTGTTATATAAATGACCAGGCTGATCTTCTGTCTGTATTCAATTACAAAGCATTCCTACAAGTAATGTTGCATATTCATTAAAATTTATGGGTCATATCATATACCTTCCCCTGAAACATCAAAGCTGATACATTACAAACAGTGACAATATTGCTCAGACTTTGAAGCTGAAATTTGCAGTTATTGAACCTCTGTAAAGCAAACTGATTTTAAATTGTGCATCCTTAATTTGCATTTAAAAAAATCTAAACAGAAATATTTATTACATTTAATAACACATTTGCAGAAAAGCATAAATAACCCAAGCAATTAAAATATATTTTCATGTTACATAGTGTAATGATTTGATTTTAAAATATTCACTCTAAAACACAATATTGATGGCAACTTATATCTGCATGTGAATACACACAGTTGCTCTACTTGTATCCACAGGAGTAGGAAAAGGGATAGTTAGATATCAAGATGAATTCATTAAGAGAATATTAAAATACACAGATGTCCCCTCCTATTTTCTCCTCTCCTGGTATTAATTTATAATGAATGCCCCCATCAAGTGTAATAGTATTTTGTTCAACCCTTTAACTCTACCAGACCGCTGGCCCGCTATTACGAGAATTTCCTAACCTGCCGCTAAACCGCTGTCCCTCAATGTCGGAAATGTGCGTACAATGAGAAAACAATGAGTCAAAACTAAAAATAACTAGCCAATCGTAATCAGATCTCGTGGAAAATCTTCCTAGATGTCCACCCGCATGTGTTTGGATAACATTTTTGTTGTTTTACGTGAAAAAATTAGAAAAATTCAAAATGAAATGAGCGGCTGATGAACCAAGCACTGCGACAGGAAAGTGAAGTATGTCTAGGCTTTTCACAGTCCAACATGTGATCGATACTTTGCTTTATTCAGACTCTGCGGAGTCATAATTTCATGAAGAATACCTTCACAGTTAAAGTGACATAGTCAGTGAGAGGTGGAATGATGAGGAAAATCTTCACAATTATAAATCTAGAAATAGATTGATAGTAGGAGAAGGGGGCGTGTCCCTCAAACAGCAACATCTAGTGTTCACTGTGAAACAAGGTTGATCCTGCTGGGTGGTTAAGCACAGAAAGGTGGAATATTGGCGCTAGATAAAAGGTTAACCTATTTTTTACAGTGTCTCCAAGTTTCATCTTATTCTGGCCACTTGTTTGCATGTAACTAATATTTTTGTATATCATGTTGGTTATTCGCGTTATTGCCCAGGAGCTCAGGTATAGGGGACAGTTAGGTTCAGGGCCTGAAGTCTGGTAGGGTTAAACTTAAGTGTTAAATTAAAAACTGTATGAACATAGCCACTTGGAACTGTGAAAAATAGTTAAAAAACTATGGGTTAATAACTTGAACAAGATTTTATTAAATCTGTGTAAAGAAAAATAAATGAATGTTATTTATCTTACAGAATTGGCACCTGGAATTTTATAACTCTATGAAATATAGGGAGAACAATGGAAGTAGTAAGGGAAATGAAACATAATAGAATTAGTATTTTAGGGATATGTGAAACTAGATGGCCTGAGGCGGGGAAAAGTATTCTAAATTCAGGGGAAACTATTTTTTCCTCAGAGGAAAATGAGCACACAGTGAAGGAGTATTGATCACCTGTTGGACTATGAAAAGCCTAGGCCTACTTTACTTTCCTGTTGAAGTGCTTGGTTCATCAGTCGCTTGTTTCATTGTGAATTTACATAATTTTTTCATGTAAAACAACACAAATTTAATCTTAACATTTGCGCGCAGACATCTAGGAAGACTATCCATGAGGTCTGATTACGATTGGCTAGTTATTTTTAGTCTGTGATGCATCTTTTTATTACTACGCAAATTGCCAAAAATTAGGGACAGGGGTATAGCATCAGGTTAAGAAATTCCCAAAAAATCAGGTCAACGGTCTGGTAGGGTTAACTACACATTATAATAATGCTGACTAAAAGTATAAACAAAGGTCCCGTTATATGCCAGTGGTGCATCCGGCATATGAGACTAGACTCATATTTTTATAGATCAGTCTACCCTCGGTGGGTGAAGTTGGGTAATATCATTGCTGGTCACCTTTACTTCCCATAACTTTACTTAGTACCTATTTAGGGCTGGGTCGCCTGGAAGCCAAGGTCATGGTTGAAAAACAGTCCGACTTCCTGTGGATTTGAACCTACAACCTTCGAATCTGCAGGCGAGCTTCTAGCTGCTACATCATATTGGCTAATGTTGACTAACCCATATACAAAAATATTACCTACTATAATTATGATGCTAAATATATTGGTAAAATTGTTATGTTCTGTGATTAAATATACTGTATTTAGTGTATAATTATATATAAAATACTGTTTTTAGTGTAATAGGTATTTTGAATATTGAATAAATTATCAAAGTTGATCTGCTTGGTGTTTAAAATATTTGTTTCTCAACTTTGTTTAAAAAATCAGGGGTCATCTGATACTTGAGGGCATGTTGTGTACAGAAAAATTATGGTGTTATGCAGAACAGCAGATAGGCTCTACACTAGAAACTTCACAACTTCACTAGAAACTTGGTATCTTCTCACTTAAACAGTTAACATAAGAACTTATTTGTATCATTTATAGACTAAAAGAAGGCATTCAAGAAAGTCGGTATCATCTATTTTAGAAAGTAGTGGCTCGATATGGAGTTAGTGAAAATACCATTATAAGTGTCCAAATATGTAGCGATTATAGAAGTATAATTAGATTAAAACAGGGAGTTGCGTTGAGTTGAGTTTAGTCAAAAATTGACATAACAGCACTCGAAGCATTCCCAAACCTGCCATGTCCCCATCCTCAGCAGCCAGCACAGAGTTTCAGTACCTATGTTGCCAGTTGTAGTCTGGTTAAATGTCCACCTTACCTTTCCTCTGAGTGTAGTGTGCCAGCCAAACCTTCTAATCACACTTGATTTAGAAGATGCTTACAACAGAGTCAGATATAAAGTCTTAATGTCAGCGCTTATGAAGAAGAGAGTCTGTCCTTGGTTGGTGAACTGGATAGCAGCTGCTTTGTATTCTCGTCGAGTACCTCTCCGCCTGGGTTCATGGACCTTTGAACTACGCAATATAGCCCTGGGACTACCACAGATATCTGCAATTTCACCTATGCTGTTCAGTGTGTTTACGAGCAAGATTGTGGAACTGGAAACACCTGGATTTGGTAGAATATTGACATTCCCAAATGATATTCTCGCATATAGGCAGGGGAGAGATTGGAATCACAAAAGAGCTACAGGTGACTGTAGATAAGGTGATGACTGGTGTACAGATATGAATGCTGTAATCAAACCAGAAAAAGCAACCATCATGTGGTGTTTTTTAGACAAGAGGATTATTAGAGCTGATGTTTCAAGCCTCAAAATAAATGACAGGGACATCAAGAGAGATAGCAGACTGCAGTACCTGGTAATCAATATTGACATAAGCTTGTCTTTCAAAGATCACGTAGAGGTGGTTGTGTCAAAGGCCCAAAAAGGTCTTAATGCACTAAAGATTATGGCAGCGATGGACAAGGAGCAAAGAGTGCTGTTCACTCTATACCAGCACTTAATCATCTCATTGATTGATAATGGACTGGGATTACTCACCGTCTCAAAGAGTCAGCTAGTGAAACTGCAGTGCATACAGAATAAAGCTATGAGGGTGATCCTGGAATGTACAAGTGACACTCCAATTGTGTGCAGGCGATACATCCTTGCATTGCCGACTATTGCAGACAGGCTAAAGGTGCTGCACGCAAAGTCATACCTCAGGGTAGCTGCAGATAAAGAGCACCCTCTGTATGAAAAGGGGAACATCATGGATGGCTCAAGCAAAAGACACAATAAAACAATTATGCATGCTGAAAAACATTGGGCGAGGAGGGGAGTGGGTCAGAGTACCAGAGGAAAAGTCTGACCTTTGTAGGGTCATGATCACATTAGGCCAGTAGTGCAGAGTGGCCAGCAGGGGCTACTGAGGTGGTAGCCTAAAAGTTGGTTCACAACAATTCTCGTCCTGATGATCTGATTATCTACACAGATGGTTCTGTATTAAGATGGAAAATCTTAAGTGCAGGACAGCCTGGTAAATGATAACACAGCATCTAGCATGAGAATGGAGGTGGAGGCAGTCACTGCAGCTTAATGGTGGCTAGAAAACACAATACATACACATATTGTAATTGTAACGGACTCTGAAGGCATGCAGAAAGAGGTAAGACAGGATTACTTCTAGCAGAGTGGCAAGCTTCACTTGCAAGGTCACAGGTAGAGAGCATACTTCAGATCTTTTCTCCAGGCCATGCCAGCGTGGTAGGGAATGAACAGGCAGACAGATTGGCTGGATCTGTATCGCTGGGTGGTGAAATGATACATGACAAGGCAGATGTAGTCAGAGCCCTTTGGGAACAAGTACGAAGTTAGAAGAGAAACTAGATTATTATGAGCTGGAGAGAACGATACACCTGGGTGTGACCAGAGGGTTCAGACGGCACACTACGCTCAGCGGAAAGGCAAAACGGACATACAACCAGACTATGACTGGCATCATTATTATTGGAACTCTGCGCTGGCTGCTGAGGATGGGGACGGATGCTTTGAGTGCTGTGATGTGAATTCTTGACTCAACACAACTCAACTCATGTGCATCATTTTCTCCAGCCTGTAATAATCTAGGTTCTCTTCTGACTTTGTTACGTGTTCCCAAAGGGCTCTGACCACATCTGCCTTGTCATGTATCCATGCTAACCATGACTAACCCACATACAGAAATATTGCCTACTATTATTACACTAAATTTTAAAAAATCAGAGTTAAGAAACAAACATTTTAAAACAAGGAATATCAAAACCATTCACAGTAGCATCTGAAGTAAGACACAGATGTGTCTTATCACCTCTTCTGTTTATGACCTACATTGATGGGATAAGCAAAGATGCTAAGCCGAGGAATGAAAATATTAACAACATCAGTTAACTACTTTTTGCTGATTACCAGACCTTAATAGCAGACGCAGCCAACAGCAACATCTCACAATTTTTTTGATGTCTTTCCTGATAATAATGTTATATTGAGCTAAAGAGAGGCATGGGAATCAGTTTCATGGAGGATGACAAAATTCAAAGACCACCGTTTGCAAGCTAATCTTAAGCTTACAATCTTTAAGAGGAGCTCCTGTGTCCACACTCTTGAGAACTGGGAAATATTTTGAATTAAGAATTAACATCAGTGCACTCTGGACACTCCCATAAACACTCCATACCTATCTTCAGCAGCAAGCAAAGAGTTCCAAATCCGATGGCACCAGTAACTGTCTTATTCTATATCCATCTCATTTTTCCCCTGAGTGTTGAACGTCAGCCAGATCCCCTAGTAACTCCATACAGCGCCATCCTCCTTAGACCGTAATGATCTGTCTGTGCCTCCTCACTGTAGACTCGCTCCCTTAGGGCCCTCACAATATCCAGCTTGCCATACATCTATTCACTACAAGTGGCGCAGAGCCGTCCAGTCTCTCTGCCTTCACATTTCCCAACCCACCGGCATATGTGGAGTAAATATCCAAAGGACGTTAACTACCTAGGACCTGTGAATTGGTGCTTGCCACTCTGCACAGAGAATGTCTGTCTCCACCTTTCTCAACATGCTCTGTGAGTCAGTTACAATCAGGACATGTGTGTACAGCTGATCCTCAAGCAAGCGGAAGGCAACAGTGACTGCCTCCACCTCCATTCTCATTCTAGACGTTGTGATATCATATGCAAGGCTTTGTTGCACTAAGCGACCTCTATTTGCTTTTGCTTTGAACCCCCATGCACTTCGTCTCCCTCTCAACACAGAACCATCTGTATAGATAATAACATCACTTGCGTGGGATCCATACATTGATACACCTTCTCGCATCCTGGAATTAGGAATGTTAAACAAATAATATGAGAATCAAAACTGAAAAAATAGAAGTAATGCCAACATGAAAAAAGAACGTAACTGTAAAAAATAGCACAGGTATTAAACAAGGATCTGAATTTAATTATCTGGGAACAGTATTTCCTGTAGTGAAGGCTGGTTTCATGTTTAAATTCAATTTTTGTCTTGGTTTATATTTACATGTTTGTTAAAAATTTATGAACAGAATCAAAAGAGAAGCACAGCAGAAACATGTGCAGACAGCTGTTTATGAGAGACAGAAGGTAATGCCAATTTTTTTGTTGACTTTTTACTCCATTTAAAAATACCTGTACACAGCAACTCCTGTATAATATATTCTAATAATTTGTCAGTTGAAGAATGTTTGTATTAGGTGTATGCATGTATGTATGTATGTATGTATGTATGTGTGTATATATATATATATACGTGTGTGTGTGTGTGTGTGCGTGCGTGCGTGCGTGTGCATTAGTTTGTTTGTTTGTTTGTGTGAGTTCATGTTTTTGTGCATGTTTTGTATTTGTTTGTTGGGGGGGGGGGTTATGTCTGTGTAAGCAAGGGGAAAATGTACTATGTCAAGATGGTTAGAATGTAGAAGAAAAAGAAAATGGAAGTGAGCAATGTCTGAAAGAATGCAAAATTTAACTACAGCATTGAATTTTACTGTAACATAATGATTGTCTGCAGCGGTGTAGATATCATCATCATCACTATAACGGGTAAAGAAGCTGTCGTCACAGTATGCCTGAAGTCCACTTGGTCCTTATCTAACTTTTCCATCTCATGAATTTTCATGACCACTGTTTTCTTGATATAACTTCTTCATTTTATAACTTCTTATTTTTCTTCACTTACTCTTTTACTGTTTCAGGTGTTTGATGGAGATTGTTGTTGTTGTTGTTGTTATCGATCCAGCGGCGCATGAGCTTTCGCCCTTTGGCCCAATGCCATGTAGTGGAATTTGCATGTTTTCACAAGCTGTTCTTTTCCTCCTTACAAGGTGTTCCACTTGTCTGGTCTCGGAGGGAGTAGCGTTCTTCTTGTCTCACTGAGTTTTGGGCACTCAAAGAGATGGTGTTCAACAGTTTCGTAGGGGTAGTTACATAGCTGGCACTCTGGGGAGTGTTGTGGCTGAATTCTGTTTAGGTGTCCATTGAGTGGAGTATGTTGCGTTCTAAGTCTGAAGATGGTGGCCTGGTCCCTTCTTGTTAGATGGTTAATGCTGTCATTAGGATCAGGGCCAGACATATGTCTATAAACCTCTCTTCCAGTGTCTCCCATGGCCCATCTGTTCAACCAAGTCTCTTTGTTTATAGCTCTTATCAGTGTTTTTGCTGTCTGGAGGGTTGTCGCTGTAGGTGGTTGTTCTTGTGTTGCTCCTTTCTTTGCCAATCTGTCAGCTCTGTCATTACCTGGTGTGCCGGAGTGACCTGGAATCCACTGCATCACTATTCTGATGTTGTATGAGGTAATAAGCTGATCGGCATCCAGGATTATCTTGGCTATGTCAGTTCTGCAGCGTTCACTGCCCTCCAGAGCTTGAAGGGCAGACATTGAATCTGTGAAGATGACAATATTTTGGACCTTTGAGGGGTAAACATCCATTACAGTCTTTAGGTGGTATACTGCTGTTTCCAGTGCAATTATTTCAGCTTCATAGTTTGAACAGAATTCCCCGCATGCATCAAAAATCTCTTCAACAGATCCATCGGGATAACCTATGTAGATTCCGTAACCTGCTTTAATGGTAGCTTTAAATGCTGATCCATCAGTATAGACATGTATCCATTCTTGGGGGTAAGAATCAACGGTCTTTAGTGATGAGTTCATAAGAGCGATTGGGTCGGACTGTTTGGTTTCCTCGCCTACCAATTTAGTTTGGACTTCTGGAGCTTTAAAGCGAGCATGTGGTGGTAGGTTTTTTTGCAACATTCTGAATTCCTTGACGTCTTTCTGGGAGGTGGTATCTGTCCTGAATTTCATTAACACAGTGTAAAACCGATTTGTGCTTTATTCTTTGTTTGGATTCCCAGTTTTCTACAAGATGTCTATTAGGATGGTTACGATTTTTCCTAACGCATCTTTCATAAATTTCTAAAGTGGCTTTTTTTCTCTCCGCAACCCTAGGGGTTCCACATTTGTATGGATTTCACATGCAGCAGTTGGTGTAGACTGCATAGCTCCGCAGATTAATCGGAGGGCATTATTTTGTACTCTGTCAAGAGTCTCTAGGTTAGTTTTGGAACAAGTTGTAAGCAGTGAGTTGTTGTACTCTATCACAGAGCGAACATATCCTAGGTATAAGCCCCTTAGAGTTTCCTTGTCTGATCCCCATGATGTACCTGCAAGTCTCTTTAATAACTGTAACCGCCTCAATGCCTTATTCCTGATGTTTTCAATATGGTTCTTGAGGCTGAGCTGCGGGTCAAGTGTGACTCCAAGGTATGTGGGATGCTCTTCTTTCATCACTTGGTGTTTGTCTAACCTCAGGTTAATATTCTTCCTTGCTACTTGGTGGCTTTTGGTAAAGATTGTGTAGACCGTCTTTGCACAGTTAATCTTGAGTTTCCATCTTTGGCAGTAATCATGCAGTCTTCTAAGGTCTCCATTCAGTCTTTGGGCTCCACTTTCCACATTTTCATGACTCTGCCATATTGCTAGGTCATCAGCGTACAAGGCTTTTTCGGCCTTGATTTGTTCTGGCAGGTCATTGATAAAGATTAGGAATAGTGTACAGCTCAATGATGAGCCTTGTGGCAAGCCCTGCTCCAAGACTTCTTTAGAAGAGATTGCGTTGTGCATCTTAGTCTGGATTGTTCTATCTATCAGGAAGTATTTCACCCAGTTATACAATCTGCCATGTATTCCTATGCCCATCATCTTCATCAGGAGACCTTTTCTCCATACTCTGTCATAGGCCTGCTGGAGGTCGACAAAGACTGCCACTGTGTGTTTCTTATTCTGGAAGCCATCATGTATTCTTTGTGTCAGTCTGAACAGCTGGTCTTCTGTGCAGCTGTTGGTTCTGAAGCCTGCCTGTTCATGGCATAGAACACCAGAACTCTCAAGGAACCAATATAAGCGCCTGTTTATCATTCTTTCTGCAACTTTGCCCAAGCATGATGTTAAGGATATCGGGCGGTAGCTTTTGGGGTCATCTGGGGGCTTTTTGGTTTTAAGGATGGGGACGATATATGCATTCCTCCATGCCCTTGGAAGTTTGCTTGACCTCCAAGTTTTATTAATAAGCCTGAGAACTACTTCTCTCCCAGACCGGCCAAGATGTAGCAGCATTTCGTTGTGGATCTTATCTGGGCCTGGAGATTTTCTAGGTTTTAATTTCTTCAGGGCTTGCTCTAATTCATCCATGCTAGATTCATTTTCAAAAAGGGAGTCGCTGGCTGTTGGAGCTCTCTCTTGTTTCTTCAACTGAGAGAGCTGTGTTCTATCGAGTTCTGACAGCTTACCTGCTCTGTTAACCGAGGCAAAATAATGATTGAAATGTTCTGCTTTCTTCTTGTCTTCAGTGATTGTCTTACTCCCATCTGTCACTGGTTTTGGGTTCACCCTTCTACTTTCTCCGGAGAGGTTTTTAACTAAAGTCCATGCTTTATTTCCATTCTGTCTAAGGTCTAAGTTGGAGCAAGTTTCTGTCCATTTATCTCTTTTAGCCTTATTAACTACAAGCTTTACTCTGGCACATGCTTTATTGTATTGGATCTTTGCTTCTGTTGAACGTGCAGTTTCGAGAAATATTCTTGCTTTATTCCTTTCAGATATAGTATTTTGAATTTCTTGATTCCAAAAAGGTTTATATGCCTTCCGGCTGACCCTTGGGATGGCTTTCGACGCTGCATTCAGGATTGCTTGTGTTATGCCTTCACAAAAAGTTTCCACACAGCTGTTGTCAATTCTTCACAAGAGGCAGTAAGATGTTTCCTGAAATAGTTTCCAGTTTGCTTTTCGGAAATTCCAACGGGTTCTCTGCTTGAAGCGTAATTTAGGGGTGGTGCTTACAGTTGTGAGTATAGGTTTGTGGTCACTTCCTATGTCGTCCAGGACTTGGGGATAGCTTGCGTCTGCTAAGTCGGATGAGCAGATGGTCAGGTCTGGTCTGCTGAGAGATAGGTGGGCCCTGTGTAACAGTGTAGGTGTAGACTCTGTGTCCTGCAGCACTAATAGGTTAGTTGTTTCACAAGTATCTTCGATGTACTTCCCTGTGCTATTGTAGTCAGGGTAACCCCAACGTGGCGAGTGTCCGTTGAAGTCACCAACAAGAAGGGTTTTATGGTACTGTGTCTTGTATAGTTCTGGTATGTTGCATGTTGTCTGAGGTGGGCTGTACACGTTGTATATCGTGTATTTGCTTCCATTGTGCCAGATAGTTATTTTTTGCACATCTGTAGGGATGGAGATAAAAGGTTCTGCTTCTTGCTCTTCTACCACTTCAACCATAGGCTCATCATGGGATTGTAAAGTTTCTCTAATGTTGTCTTTTTATCTTGTTTTTGGACTGTCTTTTGCTCTACATCCTTCTCCTCTTTTGGTGTATGCCTTGTATGGTATGGTGTAACAAGGCATTCTCTCTGGTTGGGTAAACCATTTGATTTGCTGTCTTTATATGTAATTTAGAATTGGTTCTGTGCCATCTTTTTCTCTGAAATCTCATTACTGATTTTATTTCTTCTAGTCACTCCTGCAGCTCTTCTCAGACATCTAATTTCTGTGATTGTTATATCTTGCACTGGTAGCATATAATGACAATGAATATGCTTTGTATGATTTCTTTATGCTCATCTGGATTTTCTTACACTGTAAGGGGAGGAGGGGCTCACTGTGTCTTATGCCATGGGGGGGGGGGGGGGGGCGGTCAAAGTTTAGCACAGCTCTGTTCGTTGCATATGTCAATGTTACACCCAGGTTCGTTGTTAGTTTTGCTACAGGAGGAGTCGATTTGGAAGATTATAGACGAAGAGAAAGATGGTCATGTCAATAGTGGTGATGATGATGATGTCTTGCTAGCTGCATGCTTCTCACATGACTCTGATGCTGGTATAATAAAATGTCTTGAAACAGCTGTTCTTCTCTATACTGTCTTTTTTGTGATACTTCAGCAATGTCACAAACAACATCAGTGATATTTTAAAAGGCAATGTGTTCTCCCTATGGCTACATGCTCGTAGGTTCACGTTGTGTTCTTCATCTCTAGTACTTTGATTCTAGTGTCTGTAACTGCCACCTGGTTTCTAATGCTGTCTGGTAC